ATGTCAGATGGATCCTGGCTTAAAGCAGAGAACACCATGTATGGCATATTATTGACTATATAAAGGCATTTGACTATATGAATCATTAAAAAAAAGTATGGTTAGCATTGAGAAAATGAGAATCCCAAAACATTTCATTGTGTTCATATGAAACCTATACCGAAACCAAGAAGCTGTTGTCTAAACAGATTAAAGGAACATTGGATGGCTTTAAATTAAGAAAAGTGTATGTTGAGGATTTATCCTTTCTCCATACCTATTCAATCTGTATGCTGAACAAATTATCCAAGAAGCTGGATTCTATGAAGAGTTTGGCATCATGTTTGGAGTATAAGATTCATCAACAACCTATGTTATACAGGTGACACAGCCTTGCTCATTTAAAGTAAGGAAGACTGTAAGCACTTGCTGCAGAAGATTAAACACTAGTGCCTTAAATATGGATTGCATCACAACTTCAAGAAAACAAAATCCTCACCACTAACTAGATTGAGAGCCAACGTGATGAAGGAGAAAACATTGAAATTGTAAATTATTTCACTTTACTTGGATTCACAGTTAACACCCTTGATATCAGCAGGTATTAAGTGGAGAAGGTCAGCTGTCAGTGACTTTTTCAATTTACTGAGAAGCAATGATGTCCATTTTAAGTCTAAGGTGTACCTGATAAGGCCATAGTCTCTTTAATCACTTGCTGTACATCTGAGAGCTGGATAATGATTAAAGATGATAGATGAAGAATTGATGCCTTTGAGCTATGGTGTTGGAGAACATTGCATGGACTGCCAGAAGAATAATAAGATATGCTTTGGATAAAGTGTAACTAGAATGTTTCTTAGAGACAAGGAAGATGAAGCTTCCTCTCACATACAGCACATTGTTAAGAGGCCATACTTAGGTGCTTTGGTGGCTGCTGTGTCATGTTGTTGTTAGATGTCATCGAGTTGAGTATGACTGATGGTAACGCTGTGAAAAACAGATCTGAACCCTGTCCTATCCTGAGGAAAACTCACAATAAGTGATGAGCTCAAGTCTATTCACGCAGTCACTGTGTTAATTACCTCGATGAATTTCTCTTCTCCACCATCCCTCCCCCTTTCCAAGCATGATGTCTCTCTCCAAGGAATAGCATCTCTGAAAAACACACCCAAAGTATGTGAAGAAAAGCTTCACCACCCTTGCTTCCAAGGAGCAGTCAGGCTTCACCTTCACCAGACTATGTCTGTTCTTTCAGCAGCTCATAGATATTCAGTACTCCTGTCCAACACTACAGTTCAAAGGCATCAATTTCTTCTTCTGCCATCCTTATTCATTGTCCAGCTCTCAGATGCATAGTAAATGATTAAAAAGACTAATGTTTTCTTGACATTATGCAATCTGTATTGAAAGCTGCAGTGTTTAATCTTCTGTAGCAAATGTTTCAACTCTTTCTCACTTTCATCAAGCTAGGTTGTGTCTTCTGCATACTGACCATTCTTGATGTGTCTTTCTCCAATCTTCATGCCATTTTCTTCTTCATAGAGCCCAGCTTCTTTAATAACTTGCTCAGCATACAGATTGAATAGTTATGGATAGAGGCTACAACCCTAACACTCTCTTCTCTTAATTTTAAGCCATAATATGTTCTCTTGGTTAGTTTGCATAATAGACTCTTTTCTAGGGATATGTTTCACCCCAGCACTATTAAGTGTTCTGGGATTCTCATTCTTCTCAATATTAGCCATAACGTGTTAGGATACACACAGCCAAATACATTTACATAGTTAATTAAACATAAATAGACATTTTTCTGGTATTCTCTGCTTTCAACCAGGATACACCTGACATTAGCAGTGATATCCCTGATACCTTACCCTCTTCTGAATCCAGCTTGGACTTCTGACATTTCCCTCTTTATATACTGTTCTAGACATCTTTAAATGTTCTTTTGTAGTATTTTGCTTGCATGTGAGATTAATGATATTATTAGATAATTTCCACATTCTGTTGGATCACCTTTCTTGGGAATGAGAACCAATATGGATCTCTTCCAGTTGGTTGGCCAAATAGCTATCCTCCATATTTCCTGCCATATGGTGTTGGGGCATTCAGAGCTTTTTCTGTCATTTGTACCATGTCGATCGGTATCCCATTGATTCCTTGAGCTTCAGTTTTTTGCCATTGCCTTCATTGCAGTTTGAACTTCTTCCTTTCTTACTATTAACCCTGTGCTGCCATCTCAATGGTGGTTCAAATCTAGCAGCAGCTCCATGGGGAAAAGATGGTCAGTCTCCTCCCCGGTGATTTACTGCCTCTGAAAAACCACTGCAGGGTGAACTGTGTGTCAGTTCCCTTGCAATAGTACACAAAAACAACAACGACAACAGCAATTCTTTGGAAAGGAACAAGGTGGAGCATTGGCAAAAGAGAGAAGACCCTCAACAAGATGAATTGACACAAGTACTATAGCAATGAACCAATGTAAGTCAGAGATGATGTGTATGGCACAGGATAGGGCCGAGTTCAGATCTGTTGTTCATTGGGTTGCTATGAGTCATATTAACCTGACAGCACCTAACATCTAAAGCTGTAATTTCCAGGATATGGCATTTTCAAGAATTGCAAATATGTGTCACTCAGGAAGCCTTGGTGGAATAGACATATAGGTGGTAAGTGCTGAACTGCTAACCAGAAGACTGACAATACAAACATGCCAATAACTCCTCTTAATAAAATTTACAGTGCCATGGGTACTATGAGCTGGCATTGACTTGGCAGCAGAGATTTGGGATTGTGTGTGTTTATATATACAATGATGTGTGTGTGTGTGTGTGTGTGTGTGTGTGTGTGTGTGTGTATACACTCGTGATCTAGTGGGTAATAGATTGTATAGCCAACCCCAAAGGCAACTGATTCAAATCCCCTATCTTATATACAGAGATAGAGCAACACACAGGAAGATAATTCCATTTAATATTTGTGTTTTTTCTTGTTCTTTATTTTGTATACAGGATCATAAGAAATTATAATGCCTTTGTCTCTGGGTGACCAAAGAGCTTGCCGTATTTAGATGCTAGCTAACCAGAAACTTAACTGTTTGTTGAGAGTTTACACTTGATTCCTTGGAAGAAATGTGTGGTGATCTACTTCTGAAAATACCACCCTTAAAAACCCCATAGAGCATATTTTCACACTGACACACATAGAGTAACCATGATTTGAAATCATCTCGACAATCAGTTTTATAATGTTTTTAAGCGTAGGTATTATTAGAGCTATGTTAATTATTAATTAATTAATTATTAATTAAATGGAAACATGTTCTTGAAAATAGCCTCTAAGAATGCAAACTTTGCTGATTTACCAAAACAAATGGAATTAGTGCATTTCCATTTACAGAGCAATACTTATACAATACTTATACTTTACAGAGCAATATTTATAAAACTGGGGATAGTATTTTCTAAGAAAACATACAAAGGATTAGACTAAGCTGTATTAAATACAGTCAAACCAAAGAGGATGGGAGGAAGTTAGTGTATTTCTGGAGGGTTATATAGAATGGGAGTTCTGAGTAGGTAATATTTTGAAAGCACTTACTGAATCAGATTGTACATATACTTTAAGAATCTAGACAGAAAATATTAATATTGGTTTGCTTAGCACACTAAGCAGAATGTCTTTCTGTATTCTGTAAAACGAGTATCCAGTATCTCTCCAATGCATATGTATTAATTTTTGCTATTTCAAATACATAGTGACACACACAGGTCCTATATTAAAGTAATTATATAAGATTAAATTGAAAACTGTACTTCTTGCAGTTTGCTTCACATTTTCTTTGATAATTGCATTGATATTTTCCAAAAATGCTTTAAGACTGTCCTTATTACAAATGTATATAAATTGAAGCAAATAATGGCTTTCA